TTAACCATAACACATAGACTCGAAGGCTGTGTGTAGCCAATCAGTGTTGGAAATGTTCAGTGGCCAGTTTTTCCACCATTTTCCTCCGGACTTTGCCCGTGAAGGTTTTCGGGAAAGAATCTACGATAAAGAATTTTTCCGGAACTTCTTCTGGGGAAATGCGGGTGTCTATAAACATCTGGTTACAAAACTCGTTTAGATCCTGTTCAGTCAAGTTTGAATGTTTTTCCCTCACAACACAAACACACAGTTCCTGGAATCTGACTGGATGGGGAATTCCTGCAAGTATTAGTATATACTTTAATTGAAAGTGGGTTTCATGCTAATCTGGGACGTTAATACATACTTTGTATATTTTTAATTACAAAATTTTATCTTTACTAAATGAATATAATGGCTCTTCGGTTGCCGTGATATGAGAAACAACAACAGCGGATCTAATAGTTGAAAGAAAAACTATATTGCTAATAGTGATATCAATATTAGCAATTATTTATTTTGTATTCAATTAGAATTGATTAAATATCGGATTTAGTAGCACAAGAACTAAAATTGGCAATAGTGATATCAACATCAGCAACATGTAGTTTACAGTCGAGTAGATGAAACACGTAGGACAGACCTACAACGACGACCGAGGCGACACCAGGACACTTTATGATCCACTCCTCCAGCCACTGGGGGTGGACTACAGCAGAGCCAGCCGTGATGAAATCAGACGTTCTCCCCATAACGTACACACCCCCGGACTCACTGAGGAGAAAGGTTAGGAGTTTTTGTATTGCAAGTGACACGTTTACGTCTGATTCTTAGAAGTAAACACATCTTATTTTTGTACACGTACACATATAAACAGATTATATATAAATATTTACATATAATCATACATATACATTTACATATATATCATACACATATAAACAAATAAAGAAGGATGCATAAAACACACACATTCACACATACAGTATACGCACTTGCACACACAGACACTTATACAATCATACATGCTGCGCATGATTTACTGCTTCTAAATATAATTTACTTCATTTCTGATTCACCTCGCTTATTAACTAATGAAAAACATATCACTTTAAAGTTACACGACTAGATATACTTACAAATATATATCATTATAGTTAAATCACAAGATCTACTTACAAACATATCACTTTTAATTTACACCACTAGATTTATTTGCATGCAGATAACATTGCATCCAACCTACTCAATATATCCCACATCACTTGAATCAAACCATCCATCCTCTTTAAATGCACCGCATGTATTTGAATCCAAATCCTTGAAGTGACGCAGGATTGTCCCCCCTAACGGTAAGAAATTAGATCTATATTGTGTTTCAACTCTACAGAAACAGCTTTTGAAAAATGGTGAGATTTTAAAATAATCAATGACGCGTTTTTATTAGTTTGGATTGATTGATTATGAATTTAAATACATTTAAAATCCTTAGGCTGCTCTGTGCTGTTTTCTTTATCTATCTACCGAGTGGGTATATAGGCTACACCAACTAACTAAACGTTACTTAGCTACCCTGAACCTTTTCGTATATTCGTATATAACAATAAAGATGGGGATGGCACTTCCAGAGGAATCGGGCTAACAATGGTAGATAAGCGTGTGACAAAACCGTTGGTTTTTCGTAAAAAAAAAAACATAAAGGCGAAAATTTCTTTGAATATACAGCTTGACATGATTATGATTGACAATTATTAATGCTGAACATTTAAAAGAAAACTGATATAGAATTAAAAAAAAACACTTCCAGTTACCGGAATTCGCTAAAAAATTAAAGAAACCTATGTATAAGATGTGATGTTTGTATACGGAATTTCATCCACCTAACTGAAAGAAACTCAATTTGCCGTGTTCATACACATACAAATAAAAACATAAATAAAAACATACAGAAAAGATTGCAAAACAGAGATTTGTCAAAATCTCGATTTAGTTTGTCGATGTTTTGCGCGATTACAATACTTTATCTGTAGGTCTACTCCTTATGCTAGAAAAAAGTACTTGTGCAGAATTCTTAATAGGTAATTCTAGATGTAAACTTATTTAACAAAAATTGCATAAAAACGTTTTGATAACAAGCTTTTATGTAATTGTGCACTAACATGATTTTCTTTAAATATATAATAATGCACTTTTATTTAAATTACTATAAAGAAAAGCGTGGGTCACTATATTATCTATTGGATACCTTTACTAATGTTAAGAAAGAAAGACCCACGCTTTTCTTTATAGTAATTTAAATAGTATTGTATTATTATATATTTGTGAAAAACATAAAATTTCTCCTTTCAGTGCATTATTACATAAAAGCTTGTTATTAAAACATTTTTTACGCAATTGTTTTCAGTACTTTAAATACAATAGAGTTGCATGACTAAAAACTATTGTGCACCAAATGAACATGATAATGCGCGTACAATTTGCGGGGAAAGTAGTACAAGACTGCCTGCTAATTTCAGAAAATTTTAACTGATTCATAAAAAATTAATTAGGTTTCCAATTAAGTCAAATATGATGTCAGATTGTATTGTCTTCAAGTCTTGAACCACGTGCCAACTTTGAAACGAATATGTTAGTTATAAGTGCCCGAAATTTTGCTCGCCCGTTTTTATCTATGACGACAGACTGACGGCAGACAGAAGAAGCAAGTTAAAAAAGATTGTTATAAAGTGATTGTAATACAAACTATCGTTAAAGCTAGATGAAGAGGCCTGCTTTCATAAAATCACATATTTTTTTACAGGTCTACTTTCATAAAATGAGCATATTGTAGAGGCCTACTTTCATAAAATGCACATATTCTAGAGGTCTTCTTTTCCCACCTTTAAAATACAAATTCCCAGGACAGTTTCTGGACGTGATCTCCATATTTGTTTTCTCGTCAACTATCTTCATTTGTGTGCTGCCCACAAGACGGTCACCTGTGTAGCAGTCTTTTACTGTATCCTGGAGACAGAAATATGAGATGTTATCACTGGCACAGATTATCACCTGTGCAGCAGTCTTTCACTGTATCCTGGGGAAGGGACATACTGTGTTATCACTGGCAGATACTATAACCTGTATAGCAGTCTTTCACTGTATCCTGGGTACAGAAATATAAGATGTTGTGACAAGCAGAGATTACCACCTGTGTAGAAGGCTTTCACTGCATCCCGGTTACCGAAAGAAGAGATGTTGTGTCAGGCAGAACTGATCAGCAGGATTTATACATACCATCTAGCTTTTGATTTTGTAATAGCTAGTATATTAACCGTGTCCACTTAAAACAACAAGCAGAGTCGCTTAAAGGCCGAATGTCACACTGTTTCAAAATTCAGGGTGTCACCCTTCTCCATCCAATAAATTTTCATTTTAAAGTCTTCCTCTACTTCTTTTATATGTTAATTTAATAAAACAATTTTTTTGCAGTAAATGTTTCTATTTGGTGTCACGTCCTAAATGGTGTAGCTTTACGGACCGCACCCCCAGTCCCCACTGGTGAGAACACCTATCAAAAGCGTAAGCATTAAATCCCTCATTGTTGTCAGCCTGCAATATACTCATTTCAGTATCTACAAAAACAAAAACGTTGTGCGATAATGATCTAGATTTCGTTTTTCCCAACTGCTAGAGTTTGCTGGGTAACGATTGTCAAGATCCCAATCCCAATGTTCTGATGTTACATTCTCTCACCTACAAGCCCACAATCCCAATGTTCTGATGTTACATTCTCTCACCTACAAGCCCACAATCCCAATGTTCTGATGTTACATTCTCTCACCTACAAGCCCACAATCCCAATGTTCTGATGTTACATTCTCTCACCTACAAGCCCACAATCCCAATGTTCTGATGTTACATTCTCTCACCTACAAGCCCACAATCCCAATGTTCTGATGTTACATTCTCTCACCTACAAGCCCACAATCCCAATGTTCTGATGTTACATTCTCTCACCTACAAGCCCACAATCCCAATGTTCTGATGTTACATTCTCTCACCTACAAGCCCACAATCCCAATGTTCTGATGTTACATTCTCTCACCTACAAGCCAAAAATCCCAATGTTCTGATTTTACATTCTCTCACCTACAAGCCAAAAATCCCAATGTTCTGATTTTACATTCTCTCACCTACAAGCCCACAATCCCAATGTTCTGATTTTACATTCTCTCACCTACAAGCCCACAATCCCAATGTTCTGATGTTACATTCTCTCACCTACAAGCCCACAATCCCAATGTTCTGATTTTACATTCTCTCACATTCAAGCCCCCAATGTTCTGGTGCTCAATTCTCTTACCTTCATATCCCCTGTGACCACACCCATGATGGTGTACCCAATCTCTGTCGTGCCGTAACTCACATGGTACTCATCACAGATGATGTTCAACAGATCATACACGCACTAGATTCGTTTTTTTTTTAAAAAAATAAGTGTAAAACATACTGTTTGAAAATATATGTATAGAGAGTAAATATATATATATATATATATATATATATATATATATATATATATATATATATATATATATATATATATATAATGTATGTGTGTGAAATTATAAATGTAGTGTGTGTGAAAATAATGTGCGAAAATGTAATCGTATATTCATAGCAAACGACTTCAAATCAAACCAAATAAACTATTTCTAAAAGTAATTTACGAGAAGGAAGAAACTCTTGAATTTCTAAAAAAATTGGACCTGACCGATGCTAAACCGTCCATTCCTTACCCTTTTTAATGGATATCCTCCGGTAATTATTCTTTTGATCCGCCTTGTAACTGCGCCGTTATCAAAAGCCTGAGAGCAAAAATTATATTGCAAGAATAAAATATATTCACCTCAACCTTGATCTATATCTAAGTTTAAACCTAAAACCTAATCTGTACATGACCGACAAGTTTCATTTAACGTAAACTTCTTTAAGTTTCCATCACAAAAACGAAATTAAGATTCTGGCTTTAATAGGGATTGTAAGTAGGTCACCAACAAGTTCTACGGCTCAATAAAACCTGCATGAGCCATAGAACTGGTTGACGACCTACGTACCAGCCCTATTCCTTGACACTTGATACACTTTACACACGCGTTGTGTCAACCCACACTCCTACAAGGACAACTCATCATCATCTTTTCTCATTCATGCACAAGGCACACAGGGCAGATGAAGTAGAGTTCATCCAGTTTAATGACCTCGGCTAACAGAGGGATTGTGTGGTCACCACCGCAGGGACCAATAGTTGAACTGAAACTTTCATCACTTATTACACAGTGTTTTAAACTACACAGCTAAATACCTGCACTTACGCCAATACACACAAAATACACTAACACACAAGACAGACATACACATAACGGAAATTTTAAATACTGCCTTTTATTACTTTCTCGTATACAGAGTATAGAGGAAGTATTGTAATCGTGCACAAAAGACACAAGAAATTTTGACAGTTTTCACCATTTTACACCTCAGTAATTCATCATATACGGAGTATAGGGGACATATTTTAATTTGGCAAAAAATATAATTCCAGATATATCAAAATTTCGGCGTTTTATGCGTAATCGAGTGGAAATACTGGGTTTTGCAATTCTGTCCGCGTGTGTGTTTGTGTGTGTATGTCTGTAAACACGATAACTTGAGTACCGTTACAGCTAGGTTGATGAAATTTCATATATAGGTATATCAAATTTGTAGTTCGTAATCAACTTTTCAGCGATTTTCGTCAAACGTAGTGAACTTATTCTAGTTACGATTTTTCAATAGCCTATAACTTGAGAACTGTTTAAGATATATAAACGAAATTTCATCTGTAAGTTAAAGACCCAATTATATACTTTCTGTCAAACTTTGAGTAATTTCCGATGACAGTTGGTAGTAATTTACGCTATTTCCGAATTCGCAAAAAACGAATATGAATTTTTAAAGTACCAATATTCTGCACTATTTTACAGATATTGTTTGCAGTTCACTTGCGGTGCAATTCTTTTTTTTTCCTACGAGATTCTATTATTTTTTAAAAAAACTTTGAGCAATTAAAAATTGATGAAAATGATGTCTATATTCCGAGTTGCTATCCACCTTACTGTTATATAAGATTATTCGAGAAAGTTTATTTATTTTATAGACTGAACATACTGTTTACTAATTATTATTTTAAATCAATAACAGTTCAGAAGATACTTTAAAATGTCCTGCATGTTTACTTCTATCTTACGGTTTGCAGACAAGCTGAGGGTATCATAGTCGTTCACTAAATCGAATCAGGTACGCCCACAGGCATCCCGGCAGGGTTTGATTTAGCGCCCTGGGTTATCCTGTGAGCGCTATGGTGCACACGTTCTATCTAAACAGTGCGATTAACTTTGGACAAGAAAGGTTACTTTAATCATTAACTAAATCGAATTCGGGCGTTCTCCGGCGCCCCGACAGGTGCTATTTGGCTCCCCGGGTCTTTCCGTGTGCGTTATGGCGCATATGTTTATTTTATAAAGTGCGATAGGCTACGGATAGACTATGGATAAGAAGGGTTACTAAAGTCCTTCACTAAATCAAATCCATAACGTTCTCTAGCACCCCGAGTGCTATTTGGCGCCCTGGGCCTTTTCGTGTTCGCCCATACGCTTACGTTTGTTTAAGTGAGTGCAAAGTTTGGGTATTATAGTCGTTTAATAAGTTGAATCAGGCGGTTCCGCAAGCGCCTCAGCAGGATGCGATTATGGCGCTCCTGGCTAGACTGTGAGCACTTTGCTTTCGTGTTTGCATTTAAGTTTGTGTTTTTTGTTCGGGTTTACTTTTGTATTATTTTGAGTTATTGTTTACCTCCTTAACGGCTATAATTTCTACCGGTAAAAGCAAGGCAGCATCTGCTCCTTCGTCGCAGGCAATGTTCCAAATACCTGCCACATCCATGGTGGTTGAACTATCCAGGTATTCTTGCACTATGATCGTAGCGCCAGACCCCAGGTATAGACTGGGGTACCCAGCCATCCACTCCATGATACGGTTGTTGAGGACAATATGTATGTCTTGCTTGAAGGAATCTGCGATTGCTAAGCACTCTCTATCAAGTAAAAAGAAGTATATGTATATATACCACGTACCTACTAAGTCAAATAAGATATACTGTGAAAATTATTCCTACTTAGTTAATAGAATTAGTCGATGTTAATATTCCGGTGTTTTCCAATTAGCAGAATGTAACAGTGTAGCGATTACCATCATTTTTAACGCAATTTAGCATCCTATATTAAAGCAGTGTAAGACCTGTGGCCTTTTAACTTTAAAATGTATGCATTTATTATAGTGTATCACAGCAACCGTTTCAACCAATCAGGATTTTATTTTCTTAAAGCGGCAGGGATTAAAAAAATGAAGGATCGTTGTCTTCTTTGAAATGGACTGAATTTAAAAAAAAAAAATTACTGAAAATAATATTTATATAAACAATACAACTTTCAGTATTTTTTGCCCTCTAAAGAATCTCTTCCTATTTCTCATGCACATCAGTTCTTTTATTTTACCCGTGTGTTCTCGGCACCATCTTGGAATAGCCGGTGCTGCCGGAAGTCAAGAAAATGTAAGCCTCGTCATCGGCCGTGACGGGGGCGACATAGAATTCTTCATCAGCTAGACGAGAGAGGAAAGCTGTGTGGTCTTCGTGGCTGTTTAACTTGTACACGATCAGTTGTTTCAAGCACGGGGCCTGGTCACACTGTACTGAATGTATGCTCTCTGCACTGTGATTATAAAACACATCTGATAGGTGTTATTTGGTTAAGGCGAAAACAATAGGCCTATAGACTACACAGTAAAATTGAAGGCTTTGTGTTTGTGTAATATATAAAGTTAAAATGGACTCTGTGTTTCTGTGGCGGACGGACCCTTGTAGGACATGCATAGAGTAAAAAAATCGACTAGAGTGTAATGCTCTTAAAGAAAAAAAATAAAAATTGATAATTAAAAAACTCAATATTGATACAATTTAAACTGTCCTTTTATTTTTAAACTTATCATTTTGATTGACATAATGTTAAAAAAATTGCAACAAACGTACTATACTTTACACAAATTCCAATACTTTTTCGTTTGTGTTTATGTTTGCGTTACGTTTACGTTTGTGTTTGTGTTTAGGTTTGCATTTGGGCTTGTGTTTGCTCTTAGTTTGCGTTTGAGTTTGTGTATATAATTGCGTTAGTGTTTGCATTTTAGTTTGTTTTTACGTTTACGTTTATTTTTGGATTTGGTTTTATGTTTTTGTTTGTGTTTGCGTTTATGTTTGTGTTTGCGATTTGGTTTTCGTTATTGTTTGCGTTTTGGTTTTATATATTTTTATTTTATATTTATGTTTATTTTGTTTTTGCTTATTTTGTTTGCGTTTGTGTTTGCTTTAAGTTTGTATTTACGTTTACGTTTGCGTTTGTGCTTGCTTTTTAGTTTTTGTTGTGGTTGGTTATTGTTAGAGTTAAGTTAACAGTTAGAATTAGGTTTAGGGTTATGCGTCCGCAGTTTTATATAGATATTTTATTGGAAAAGTAATACATTTCGCAATGCTGGGTATATGCTACATAATAAAAACACAAGTAACGGTACTTTACAGATATGGATTCCACAGAGCCAGGGTAGTCCTGGCCGTTTTACAGTTGTTATGAATCGATACTAAAGAATAATAAAACATCGTCAATTTACTATTTATAATATATATATATATATATATATATATATATATATATATATATATATATATATATATATATATATATATATAATATATAATATATAAAGTTCAATTCTGTATGTTTGTAAAATGTTTGTCGTGGATTACAAAGGAATATAAGAAAAAACGAAAAAAAAACCCAAACTTTATGGATTCACGTGTTAGATTATTAAAGTGCTCATGGTGTAAATTTATGAGCTAAAAAATTAATATTGAAAGTCTTTAAAAACAATGTTCATTTTATATACTTAGAATAATAATTTTCAATTATGAACATTACATAACATTAAAAATAAAGTGTATCAACGTTTATAAAATTTCTAAAATTGTGTCTGAAATGTATTTGCATTTTGTCCTTTAGTTCTCATAACGTCCCTTTAAAAAAATTTAAATCGAGGGGAGAAAGAATTTACTTTTTATTATTTGTTTTGGTGTTAGGAAAAAAAATATATAATTAGCCGGGATTGATTAAGTGCAATGTTATAGGTATTTTTAATACTGCATTTTATTTATTCCATACACTGAACGTACTGTTTTCTTCTGATTATTTTTAATCAATAACAGTTAGAAAGCAAGGTCCTTCATGTCCTAAATGTTATTTCCTTCCGTTTACGGATAAGCTTGGAGTATTGTAATTGTTCATAAAATTGAAACAGGCACGTCCGCCGGCGCCCCAGCAGGGTTCGATTTGGCGCCCTGGGCTAACCTGTGAGCACTATGGTGCATAATTTCGCTTTAAACAGTGCGTTAGACCAGGGGTCTCCAAACTACGGCCCGCGGGCCGGATGCGGCCCGCGAAGTCCTCTCATCCGGCCCGCGGAGATCCTTTTGTCCAAGGAAAAATCGTTTGTCGGTAATTGCTAAGGAACTTTGCCCAGAAATATAAAAGACATACGTGGAAGAAACTGGCCCCCGAACTGAAATTTGATAGTTAATGCGGCCCTCGGACTGAAAAGTTTGGAGACCCCTGCGTTAGACTATGGATAAGAAAGGTTATTATATTATAGCCTTTAAGTGAATCTAATCCGGGTGTCCTCTGGCGCCCAGACAGGGTGCTATTTGGGGCCCGGGGCCTCCCGTGTTCTTTTAAGTGAGTGCAAAAGACTATGAATAAGTTGGGGTACTATAGTTGTTTAATAAGTTGAAACAGGCGATTCCGCCGGCGCCCCAGCATGTTGCGATTTGGCGCCCCGGGCTAGACTGTGAGCACTTTGCGTTTATGCTCGCGTTAGTGTTTTCTTTGTCTTTAGGTTGGGTTTGCGTTAGTGGTTGCGTTTGCGTTTTGATTTGGTTCGTTTTTGCTCTTTCTTTTTCGTTTTCGTTTGTGTTTTTTTTCTTCGTGTTTGTGTTTGTATTTGTGTTTGTGGTTGGTTTTGCGTTTGGATTTGGTTTGTTTTTGTTTGCTTTTTCGTTTGTTTTTTTCTTTGTGTTTGTATTGGTGTTTGTGGTTTGTTTGGGTTTGTTGTTAGGTTTTTGTTTTCGTTTGCTTTTGTAACTGTGTTAGCGTTATGTTTGCGTTTTGTTGTTTTGGTTTTGGTTGGTTGTGGTTAGGGTGGGCAATGCCGGGAATATGATGATTACTAAAAGCACAGGTAATGGTCTTTAACAGAAAGGTTTTTCACAGAGGCCAGAGCAGGGCCTGGCCGGGACGGCTAGTATATATATATATATATATGGGACCTTACTAATATTGTGTGAGCAGTATGTGGGATTGCTTTTTCAAGTTCCGCCATCCACTTGTTAGTTACATACCTACCCTACAACAAGATCCGCTTCTCCAATATTTAAAAAATTCTGAAGGAAAACAAACTCCGGGTTTTCCCACGACGCTATAATTGTCTTACACTTTGAAATATTGAGGACTCTAAAAATATCTTGACCGTCTGCTTGGATAGTCTGGTTAAAGAGAGCATGAATATATAAACAGATAAGATCACTTTCTGAATAAAGTGAACTATAATTTCAGGACAAATACACCATGTAGTTAGTCATAGACACCATCTTACCACACCATTGACAACTACAGCCCCAGCAGCTATGGCACCAAACATCGAGATCAGTTTCGTCCGGGATGTTTTTATCATTGAGCACACAACATCACCAGTCTAGAGACAAATGGGGTTCGTTTGATTGGTGGTTAGACAAATGGGGTTTGTTAGATTGGTGATTGAAGTAGACAAATGGGATTGGTTTGTTTGAAGAATGTAATTGACAGATGAAGGTTAATTTTGGTGATAAAGTCATATTTCAGTCTCTAAACTCAACACGTTTCATATTGCTCTATTATTAGCCTGTATAGTCATATCGTAACGTCTAACTAAAACTACTCTACTTTAAGACTGTAGGGCCTACCTTAATTCAGTAACGTCTATCTGAAACTACTCTACTTTAACACTGTAGGGCCTACCTTAATACCGTAACGTCTAACTGAAACTCCACTTATAGCCTAAAAGGCCTACCTTAATAACGTAAATTATAATTGATACCACTATTAGCCTGTACCTTAGTAGTGTCTAATACCACTATAAGCGTGTAACTTAATACCGTAGTGTCTAATTAATAACACTATAAGCGTGTACCTTAATACCGTAACGCCGAAGTCTTGAGGAGTATCTCCCACACAAGTCCCAGATACTGTATCTCGATAAGGGAATTCGCTTCATGGTCGGGCTGACAAAGACATATCCATCTCTGTTAGGGTCTTCATCAGCCAGGTATTGAAACCTATTCATCAACACATCTTTAGGGATATCGCCTGGCATTTCTCTTGACTGAAAATAAAATATGTATTTTTTCCGCTTGGAAACCACCAGTACATACATGGCCAATCACTCCCCCCCCCCCCCTCCCCGGCACACCGTAGGGTCTGGACCCTTCGTTGAAAATCATTGCTCTAAACTCTAAACACACCTAGATCAAGCGAACTGATTTATTCACAAGTAAGTCCAGAAAAAAAATACTTAATATCGTTAGATACATTGCAATTGTAGAAAGATAAGCACCACACTAACAAAAGAAAACAAAAAACAGGTAAACACAACACTAACGAAACAAAAACAAAAAACAGGTAAGCACAACACTAACAAAAAAACAGGGAGTTATCTCCCTTAAACTTTCTCGAAATTTCTATCTACAA